CTTGTTGTTCGACCCCCCTCCCCCAAACAACAACCCCCCTCCCAATTGTTGTTCGAACCCCCCCCCCCCGAACAACAACTCACCCCCCCCCCTACTGTTGTTGTTCGCGGGGGCCGGAGGGGAGGCGGGGGGGTGGCGGGTGGGGGTGGCGGGTGGGGAGGGGGGACTTGTTGTTCCGCGTTTTCGACGGAACAACAACCCCCCCCACTCCTGCTTATCGAAGCGGTCTCCGTCGGGTGGCGCGTGCATGCTCGAATGCCATGCGCGTTACCCCTGTGAAAACAACTTCTAAGCCTGATAGCCCAAACAGGACGCTCCCATGTCCATGTCCCAAAAGCAGGTTCTTCTATGACAGCTTTGTTGTTCAATGACCCCGATTATTTTCCATTTGGCTTCCCACTAAAAGTTCTAGGCATTGATTCCCCTGTCTTTTCAACCATCGTTCTTTTCAAGTTTTCTGCGGGTTCACGGAGGTTTTCTGAAAGAAGGATCCTGGAAAGAATAGGGAAGGTACTCCCTAGAAAGCTGCAGTCAACCCCCCAACACATGGCTTCCATTTGCTGCAGCAAACATGTCTTCTTCTCAGTTGCTGATTTTAAAGGGACTTTGTCACTACTGGACATATTTTCTCATTTTTGCCAGAGGACGAACAAGCAAATGGAAGTGAAGTGGCCTGGATGTCCCTCAAGTGTCCACTTTGGGCAAGTTGGAGCCCGATGCTTGAAGTGGATGGGGTTTGGGTTCCACTTTTTGACTACCCAAAGACTAGAACCGAGTGGTTCACTCCCTCCAACAGTTGATAAGTCTGATTCCTGGGTGGAAGTCTTCTGGTCGTCAAAAAGTGGACTCCTTTGATGGTTGGAGCCACAGGTCGGTGTTTCGGAGCCCGTTTTCGGAGCCGTACGGTTGAGGGCTGCAGTGGATGGGGCCGGGCCCCGTTTTCCTTGACTGCTGGGTTGGACTGGGTTGGATCTGGCAACTTTTCGACTTTTTGGTTGAAGTAAAGGTGTTTTCCACAAAACCCTGCAAAAGTGAAGCTCACTTTTTGCAGGGGGTCGTTGCAGCAACCAAGTTTCGAGCCCAGCCCAGGCCTTCTGGATTTCGAGGAGGTGGTGCCCCGGGCGGCAGGGGGGGGGAGGACGCGAGATCGCCGCGAGGGACGTGGCATGGCCAGACTTCGCAGCAGGGGTGTGTCGTCGGTTTAGGCGTTGGACCTGTTTTCGTTTTTTTGTTTTTTGAATATTACCTGGAGCACCCAACGTACCCTTTTTTTTAGGTACGAGAAAAAAACGCTCGAATTACCGAAAAACGCTCGACCCCAAAAAAAACGCTCGACCCCCCAAAAAATGCTCGATCAAATCCCCTTCTTCCATCCGTGACTCGCGGGCAGAGACACACAGTCACACGTGCGCGCTTGACCTCATCGCGGCCTTCGCCGCCGGCCCGGGCACCCAGCCGAATTGAAAGAAAGGGCACAGGGTTGCTGCTGCATTTCTGGCCAGCATGGGAATAAGGGTAGCCATTGATCTGTCCTTTTCAACTCGGGTTTTGTCAGGTGGCAGCACCCCTTCACTTGTCAACTAGCAACCTTTTGTATCGCATCAAGAGCCGAAAGGCGGTTCTCAGCCCAAGCTGAAACGGATGTGTGCGTCTACTCACTCGACAAACTTTTCCTATGTAATCTTCGTCACTCCAGCAAGAAAAGGTAATCGGGGAAAGCAAGTGCGAGATGCCTTGGTCTGCCTGCAGCTGCCATTCTTTCCTTGGTTCGTGACAGGGCGCAGCTGCAATGAGGCGATAGTAAACTGTTCACACACGAGACACGAAGGGAGCGCATCAGCACAGGGTAAGGGTTATTCATCTTTCGCGTAGCCAATCTGGGCCAAAGTCCAGCCAAGTTTCGGGAAGTGCTCCAAAAGATGGAGTTTTGGCTTTACGCGGTAAAGGCACCAAGATCGGGCCGCGCACTTCTTCGCGAGAACTCCGTAGCCCTCCTTGCAAGCAAACATGAGCACACTTTTGCCTGCTTCTGCGCTACAGTATATTTATCCAAGTGTCTGCCACAGCCCATGCCGAAGGCAAGACCGCTCTAGCAGTTTCTAAGGGCACAAAAATGCCCGACCGGTAAAGCACCGAGAACCAGTGATTTACACAGCCAGTGGTGTACTTCAGGATGTCGACCAGCTCCCTCTCCTCGGGTTCCTGAGTTGACCAGTGGACAAGGAAGCAAGCAAGCGCAGCGTGAACTGCAAGCGTGAGCTAGGGCTCAACAACTTACATGCAGCCAGCGCTCCAAAGACGCGAAAGAGTCTGCAAGCAAACCGTCACAGAGCAGCGCTCCAAGCCATTTGCAAAGCACATTGCAGTCGCTTCCAGACGCAGCCAGGCTGGGAAACTCTCGAAGCCTTAGCGCGCTAATCCGCACAACAGCAAGCTGCAAAAAATGTGCATGCCATCTCACCGTGCGTGTCAAGAAGCGACGTGATTTTGAAGGTCTTCAAGCTGAAGGGGTGTATTTTGCAATGGTTGCGCGTTCGGCGGCGCCAGAGCGTAAAGTGTTGCCAGCAATGGTCAAGCCTCGCATCCAAACTCCTACCAGGCCACACGCGAAGCAAGCAGAGCATCAAGATAGAGCTTGAGATGTATTCCTTCCCGACTCCTATAGCCCACGTGTGCGCAAGATCAGTTCGGACTCTATGGGCTTGATCTGCACCTGGAACTTGCCGAAAATTGGAAGCAAGTGGTTTCCACGCAGGGATCACCTCACCGTCCCAAGTGTGTAAATATCCGCGTTCTCCGAAATGCCACCATTCCTACGTCGATCGAAAGTTTTGAGGGCACAGGAAGCAGGCATGTATGATCTAGCACGCGAGTCGCGCAATGAGTGATGGGTCCTCGACCTCGCAGTAGTGACAAAGCCGCCGGGAGCGAAATCCCGAGGAGAGGGCCATGCATTTACGCAACCATGGCCAATCTCCTTTCAGTCCCACGAAAGCTCCGTGGAACCTTCGAGAGCCCACCTTAGCTGCCAGGCCGACGCTGTGTAACCCGTGCGACTCACACGCAGGTAGTGCAAATGTCGAATGCGTAAAGGTCAGAGATTAATTGGATTTCCCTCGATTGCGGCGCCAGAGGACGCATGGCTGCGTGGGCAACGCCTTTTGGCTATAGGGCACGAAACTGCACGCTACAGTAAAACTTAAGTGTGGGGACGCTACGTGTGAACTACAGCGTTTTTTCTACCGTGAAGCGCGCTAGCTGGTGTTGCTGGCAATGCGTTAGTGGATGCTCATGATGCTTTGTCGATGCTTGTGGCGGCGCTTGAAACCCAAACCTCTCGGCTACACGTTCGCCAAGTTACCTGCACCCCTTCGTAGAAGCACTGCAGCAAGTCATCAGCCATGAACGCGTTCAGGTCATCATATGTCTTGTCCGCCATGATGTTGGCAGCAAGAACCGTGGTCAGGAACCGGGTCTGGAAAGAGTGCCTCAACAACAATTCAGGAGCTGGCTAAGATATAAAAAGGCTCCAAACTCAAACACGCAGTTGCATGCAATCAAGAAGCCCCCTCAAGTTTGTGGTTTCCAACCCGGCAGCTCGGACCACTACTTGGTAAGAGACGACAAGCGTTGGCACATGGTTTCTTCCTCTTCCTTCGTCGCCGTGGACGCAGTACGGCAGCACTGAGCCCCACTCATGCTCCTCAAACGTCTGGTACACAGGGTGGGTTGGGTCTAGGGCTTTGTACAGCATCCAAAACTTGTGGAAGGTCTTGGAGTAAGTAGCATAGTCCTCCACGTCATCACAGCCACCCAACAAAGTCTTTGGCGTGTTGGCCAACAGACATTCCAACCAAGCTTTCAGTGTCACCACAGGGTAGGGCACCTTCTTCGCCACAAGCTTCGGCCAGGGGATCTTAAGGGAAAGCTCAGGCCCACTGACAGTCACAGGGGGGCCAGGAGGCGGTGCAGATTTCGGGAAAGATTGCGGGATCTCCGCATGGAACGGGCTGTTCTTCCACATTTCCCAATGCGTTCAAGAACATGGTCCCGTGCTCCTTAATGAACGTTGCATTTGACAATGAGCCTTCCCAGCGCTAGTGCATGCCTGGGCTCCCAGTGTTCTCATTCGCTTGGAAGCCACACGTGCCAGCCTCACAACTCTCCGGGCTGATTCAGCCTTGGGCACGAAGAAACACGAAGAACCGGATAGAGGGACAACGATTTGATCGATTAGTGCGCCCAAGTGACCCCTTCTTCGAAACCCACCATCAGTTCATCAGCCAAGTCGGAGCCGGTTGCATCGGAGCCTACGGGTCTGTTGAGCGAAACTGCATTTGCAAAATGCATGGCCATGTTCTTGTGGCTTGGCTTCAACAGGTTGAGGATATCCAAATATCCGTTTTGGCTGGCCGCTTGATATTAAACAACCGTTGTATCAAACCGTTGAAAGCTGGCTCCCTTAGGTTTCTCCAACTGCTTCCACCACTTCAGGGTATTCTCAAGGCTAACCGTGTTCGATAATGAAAGCATCGTTTAAGGGTCAGGTATGTTGAAGCTCGACATCAAATGCTGGCATTCCCGAGTGTTTGGATTAATTGGGGCAATCCGTCCTCTTCTCCGCCGCCCAGGCCTTCGCTGTCATCATTCTCGCCAGTGCCGGGAATCTCAGGAGCCACACCTGCGGTCGGGGAAAGCTGAGTTGAGCTTGAATATGAAATAGGCCAGCTGCTGGCTGGAGTGAACATGCAAACGGACCCAATCGCGAAGTGTACTTTTTTGCTCCATCTTGCACACCACGCAACAACGCAGCCCCATCTGCATTGTGAAAGCGCATGTTCCTGTGCATCGGATCTAAGGTTTAATTGCGACCTTTCTGGCCACTCCTGAAATCGGATCAAACTCACTTCGCCTCTTACGCAGGCGCTTTGGATTTAGGCTTTTTGCCCTTTCCCTTGCTTTTTGCCTTGGCCTTTGCTTTGGGTTTTGGAGCGTCGTCATCAAGTGCTCTTGTAGTCGGTTTGGCTGGCGCCTTCAGCGTCCTGCCACGAAGCACCCACAACTCGGTTTGAGATGAAAAAGCCAAGGCGGTGTAACCTCACAGGGGTCCCCAGAAAACTTGCGGTTTTGTTTTCAAAGTGGTTACGAAGGGAAACCGAAAGGCAAACCGCTATTTTGAGATATGCGTACAGACACACCTGTAGCAGGAGTCTCACTTGTACCTTTTTGGGGTGGCTACAAAGGGAACCCAAGCAAATTGAAACAAAGAAGAAACACAGCTTTTAGGGGTCCCTTCTTTTGAGACAGGCCTGAAAGAAGCCACACATGTGAGGTTCAGGGTCCTCAGCAAACGTGTGTTTTTCCCGGGTACCTTTTTGGGGAGGTCACACAGGGGACCCAAAAGACAATTTTTCGGAACTCCCTAAAACCTTTTGACACCTACGAGGTTTCAGGGGTCCCTGAAAACCTGGACTTTTCAGGGTGCCTCTTTTTGGTGGAAGAAGGGGCAAAGGGAAACCAACACAGATTGAAGCATTTTTTAGAGGTCCCCTAAATGAGACATGATGCACCTAGGAGGGTTGAGGTCCCCAGAAAACGGTTTCCTTTCAAGTAACACAAAGCATAAGCCGACCCCATCAAACCTGATTGTTTGGGGGTTCTGTTCAAAGCTAGCAAGGGCTCAAAAACCCAAGAATTGACTCCAAGGGCAAAATCAACCCCCGTGATGTGAGAGCGCCTTTCCCCCCCCTCCCCACTGACCCCGACATAAACAAGTAAGGATGGCTTGGCCCGCACGATGCAATTGTTCATGGCAACGTCGCGCTTTGTGACTTCGGCCATCACCTCTTTGATGCTCTTGTCCAAGGAGCGCGGATCACTGGATGCCATCGCGTCGCCCTGAAGCTTTGACAAGTGTTCGTAGTGCTTGTTGAGCTCATCAAGGTGGCCCTGGATTTCACAAGCCTTCCTCGAGAGCGTGCGCGCGCTAGCAAACATCACTCAGCAAAGAGCAGACGAGCGCAATCACGCAAACACACACACCCAAGCACGGCGCCTAAGCAAACACGCGCAATCAACTGAACACAAAACACGTCAGACACAACATGTGCGCACACACACACCCGCGCAATGTCAAAGGGCAATGAAATTGTGTGCGCACGCGTGCGTGCGTGCAAACTGCAGGGTGGAAACACCACCAGAGCTTGGGCAAGAGCCAACCGGCAACGGAATAGAAGCGAAGCTGTACTATTGCTGCGCCCAGACACGAACAAGGCCGCAAACCAAAGCACAAACAGCGACCGCCGCAAACCCAATGAGGAGAGGTGCCGTTTCAAGGTGGCCTGGGCAGGCCTTTTTTTGCTTCAAAAAACACCTGTTCAGGCCACCTTGAAAATGGCCCCTTTAGCCACCTGTGGGACGAAAAAACACAAACACGCGCAAGCCGACGCACACACACACAAATTGATCAGTGACACACATGACGATGGACATGCAAATTAACAAGGTTCTTATGCAAAACATGCCTTTCAAAAAAACACGAGAAAACACACACACACATGCACACTATCGCACAGTCTCACAGCGCACACAAACACATGCGCACGCACAGCATGCACGCCCGCACGAACTCACACAGCGCTTTGTTGGCAAGTCGCTCCGATGCTCTTGCAAACTGGCGACCAACGAGTTTTTCCTGCGCAAGATTATGTTGGGGGACGCTCAAGCATATATGTCTGCCAAGCAAACTGTCCTTCTCGCGCTCCCCCATATCCATCTTGCGGGCCATTGTTTGCAAAAATGCCGGCAAGACATCCAGGGGCGATTGGTTCTGCTGCAGGGCTGGGTACACCAACCTTGACTCACCCCCCCCCCCCCCAAATGGATTCCAATTGGGGACGTGTGCTGTCGATCGTCATGCAGTTAAGTGGCTTGGCCCCACCTCCATTTTTCGAGGCTTCGGGCTTTGCTGCATCGTCGCCGACGGCATCAGGGTTGACGCCGAGCCCCCTGATCTGCTCTGCTGAAGGGGTCTGGCCCGCTGAGTAGATTGGTTGAGTTTCCTCGGTCTCGAAGGATGCTCGCTGCGTCATAGTCTGGCCCTCCGTTTCTTGAACCTTGTAAAAGTTCTCAATCACGAGGGAGGCTTCCTCTTCCTTGTGCACGGGGTTGACTTGGTACAAGCCTTTCTCTTTTGCCCACGCAAAGGCGTTGTCACACATGGACCTCAGGTTACACAAAACACATGAGAACTCCATGAAAGAAACCTTGACTTGTCGAGGGGCTTTGTCCAGTGCCGCTCACGCATGAGCCAGTTCTTTGTCACCCACTGCACTTGGATTTCTTTTTGCAAGATCTTGGCATGATACTTGGCCACCTCATTCTCCAAAGCCTTGAAGTCGCCAGACTCCATCATCATCTTCTTGAGTTTTTCACCTCAAATAGGTTCAAGAATTGTGTCAGAAATTCAATTAGGTATGGCCGGCTAAACAATTATTGGACAAGCAACGGCCCTCCGGGTCTTTCCACAACTTGTAAGCCTCCGCCGAATACAGCTGGGCACCGTTGCTTCGAGGCTGGAAGTATCTGCGGAGCCTTACGCCATTGAGGAGGCTGGGAGCATTTGAGGGAAGGGACCCTGCAAATTTTCATCTCTCAACCCAGCAACTTGTGGTAGTATTTGTCGTACTTGGGCTTCGCTTCCGGCTCAGACTCCTTTTTAATGTCAACCTTGTCATGAGGCACCAGATCAAGCGTAGGTTGTTTTTGCATTGCCACACGCTTCGCATCAGGCTCATGAGCAGGGGGGTCCCCTTGGCGCTTTGCGGCAGCACCCTTCAAAGGTTCCCCCACAACCTCCACATCGGATTCTTGGAGTAAGGTGTCATCAAGACTTGCCCTTGAAGCGAGCATGCTTGAGTTGGCCCTTCTCAAACTAGACGGTGGAGTCTGCAAGGATTCATGCATGTTCATCACCGCATTGCCGGCCAAGAAAGCACCATCCTGCTCGGCAAATGTAATTCCTAGGTTTGCTCAGGGGTTGGTGCTGAACAGGCCCATGAGTTGGCAAATTAGGCCGTCGAGTCACCCGACTCCCTCTCCTGTGGCAGGTCTTCGGGCCCACGCAGAGAATCGACACCGACCTCCGCCTGGAGCTGGTTCACACGCGCTTCGGTCGCCTGGGTTGGTGGGAGAACAGGCTTTCCAAATTACATGCCCTATAATTGTTGCAGCGAACAAACGGCTGTTTGCGCTGGGGCGCGGCAATGATTGCATCAAGATCCATGGGCTTCCGAGGGCTGGTGCAATTGCGATCCAGCTGTTCCATGCCAGCAAAAAGAGATGCGCAGCTATGGCTAGACTTGTGAAGCATCGAATCCCACCAAAGCAAGCCACTTGAGCCGTTGGACGGACCACCCAACCATTTGCGCGTCGGTTCAGTTGCTGGGGCGGTAGTGCAAAGCCACTAGGGTTTCCGCTCAATAAAACAGGGCAATTGTCTGGTGAGGCTTGAGGCATCCATGTGACAGCCACAATTTCCCCATGGTTCACCAGTCAGAACATCAGCGTTCCTGAAAAGCATTAAAGACAAACATTTTCAGGATCAAAGTAGTTTTTTTGGAACACTGGGGTACCCTGTGAATTTGCATTTGTACCTCTTTTTTTATTTGCATCCGTTTGCGGGGATTTGCGCTCGTTTTGCGGGTATTTGCGGGCGTTTTGCACTTCAATTTCCGCTCGTGCATTCTGGAAATATTCAAAAAAAAGCTGACGGGTGAATGGCAAGAAGAAAGCTGCAGCAAATGTGTGCAAATGCATTCTTTTTGCTCAGGGCCAATCACCTCCCAACATTGTTGGACAGCCCAACCAAATCGAATTTAGCACCTTAAAAAGCTTGACAGTCAAACAAATATGGCTTGATCAATCATGGAAAACGAGGCCAGCCAGGCGCAAGGTGCTATTGAAATTGCTGCAGGAAGGCTTCAATATCACCCCTCCAGCTTTCAGGGATATTGAGAAACTTGCACTTGTACACGTACACCAGTACAGATCCCAGATTGGCATCAGGCCACAAATCACCTGCTGGATAGTCGTGGTACAGTTCTCTGTCGGTTTGTTGCGGATTGAGCTGGAACTTGCGCCTGAGGTCGCGCCGGTCATCGTTGGTCTGGGCGTCGTACATTTCAAGGAGGCGCTGACCAAAGCCGCGTGGGTATACCCTTGGTGGGCAGGGTTGCGATTCACAAACAAACCGGGGCGCTCCAGTCAACACACAGCTGGTTCAAAGGGGCATGTGTTTGACAAGATGCTGTGTTGACTTCAGGTGACGTGTTCCAGCAAATCGTTTTTTGCCTGATCCGTCTCGGTAAGTTCCTTGGGTAGCAAAATTGGCTGATCGGCTCAAGCCCCGAATTGCTGCTCGCGAAAAACATCTTGAGCTCGTACGTTTTTGTGTTCAGCGTTGAAGTTCAAGACCTTTTGCGTGCACAAGGGATGCAAGTGTTCAAGAAAGAGTCAAAGACAGACGTGTCTCCCTTTTCCACCCCGATTCCTCAGAACAATCCTTGCAAGTTGCTTTCCCAGCTCAGATTTTCCGGTTCCAACCATGTATCCCAACAGTTGTCAAAGTCTTCGGTTGAACACCTGAACATGTCCCATCATGCAAGCAAAGGCGCTGGTTGTCGGAGGGGCTGGTGGTTGTGCCTCTCTTTTCTTCTGGCTGAAAATGCCAACATCTAGCATGCATATGTAGCGGCAGTTACTTGTTATGGTTGACCTCTTGGGCGTAGGTGATCCGAGCAAGCCCATCCAGAAATTCTGGACATAAACCTCAGTTGCAATCTAATTTGAGATAGCAGTTTCAAGAAAATGGTCACAGCCTTGTTTGCAGAAGTGGTGCAAAAGCAGTCCTGTTTACGAAATACTCATAGCGCTCGTGATGCCAAATAAGAGATCCTCTTGGATTTTCCACGATGAAGATTGAGTTGGCCGCTAGGACCACCATGCAAACCAAAACAAGCCTTGGATCATGCCACATGTGGCAGGGCAAACTATTCGCTGCATGAACCTGAAATGACCCCTGTACACTAAACAGCCAGAGGGGCCGTGCTGTTAGCAAATTCCCAGAAGCCACAAACTGGTAGCCCGGATATCCGGCAGGGTTGATCAAACTCCGCATGCTTGTTGCCCTAGAGCAGGTCACCCAGCTGCTGCACTGTGGCGCTAATAACACCACAGCATTAGGCACCAGTTGGTGGAGCACGTGTATAATGAGCCTAACGCACGGATGTTCAGAAGGCAAACGCAAGCACGCTGGTTGTTGCCAAGTTGCGCAAACCCTGCATCCCCGTTGAAATCCATGCCGCGCTGGGAGTACTCCCAGTCAAAACTCGCGCAGGAGTATCCTGCGTGATGCCTTGGCTCAGATTCAGCATGAAAGGCAGGTTGTTTGTTGAGCCAACAACCTTTTTTTTCCGGTAGCCACGTCACGGCCATGGCCGGTCTTAGGAATCTAGTGTCAGCAGCTATCATGATGGTTCCTTCCAAGGGTCTTGTCAACTATCACGCTTCCCACAAAGGATGTTGCACGCATAACGTTTTCCATGAAGACAAGTTTTCCAGGTCGACACCCGCTAGTGAAAATGGGTCGCAAGGCATGTGATATGCTTTGAGCTCTCAAGGAACGCCGCACGGTCTGGGAGAGTTATCATGACATGCTTTCCAAGTTGTGTTTACGTTGGGTGGAAACACGCACAACATATGTTGCCACACGATATTTATGCGAGTACGGTGCCACTCCCGCGTGGCTGCTCCAGCTCCTGAAAAGACCTCGAAGAACTGGTACGGACCATGTCGTGGGAAAGAGCACCATCCAACTAGAAGCACCTGAGATAAAGGGCCGAAGACAAACTCCACTCACAACCCACGCACGCAAGAATAAGCGTCCAACGAGAGTCACGAGCACCTACCAGGGATAGCAAAACTGAAACACTCGGCTGTGCCAGGCACTGTTGGCTGGCCTTTGGAGCTCCAATCTGCATCAAATTGAAGGCCAGCGATCTGTTGGGAACATGGCTTGGCATGATGTGAGCGCTCCAAACCAGTTTGCAAACCTCGATCTAATATATAAATGGCCGCGCGGTCAGGCTTTGTTTGCGCATGCAGTGTTGCATGCCTCAATGTCGGGCAATCATCACATAGCGTGCGCTTGCTATGTTGCAGGCAGTGGCGGTGGCACCTGCCAGACGAGCTCGGATCATCCAGGCCATTGCATCGCCTGGCACTTGGATCGGGCAGCTTGCCAAGCGCAAGCGGGTGCAAGGGTGAAGGGTGATTGGTTGGCACTCGCAAAACTCATTTCTTCACCCGCTGATCGAGTTATATCCTGGGGCAATCCAGGCCACACCGATGATGCAATCTGTTAGCAGATTGCAGAACCCTCCCTGAAATCGGGATATAAATGCGGTTGCTTTTTGAACCACGCTCTAAATCTAGCGCGTTGCAGCTCAGTTCCATCAAGATCAGGGACTTCACGCGGAGACCCGGTACGCCTGAGGGCACCCTCTGTAAGGGCTTCAACGGTTTGCGAGGGCACGTCATTCACACGTTGCTTGATCCAGCTTGCGCGCAACAACGCACGCACACACACACACACACACACACACACAGCATGCGCACAATTTGAGTCAAGAGACCTCCTTTGCACGCTTCTTTGCCTCGTCGGGCCCGAGGGTCGGCAGGCAGCGCTTGTACTCCTTGTGGTAGGCCGAACTCTTCCTGGATTGAAGCTTCTTCTTCTCCGTCTCGGACAGCCCAGCCCGCGAAGACCTTCTCCGACCCGGCCCCTCAGCCGGTGCAGCAGGCTCAGCCTCCACAGGCAGGGCTGCCGGGGGAGCTGTCTCCTCCACATCGTCAGCAGCCTTGGCCTTGGATTTTGCTTTGGCCTTGGAGCTTGCTTTGGTCTTTGGCTGTGCGCGTGTTTTGGCCTTAGCCCTGGCCTTTGCTTTGGCTTTCGCCGCAGCCTTGGCTTTTTGCTCTTGGCCGTCGCTCTCCTTGTCCTCCTCATCGCCAGACTGGTCTTCCTCCTCCCCATCGCCAGACTGGTCTTCCTCCTCCGACTGGTGCTGCTTGGCCGCCTGGCGCTTCTTGGCCGCCTGGCGTTTGGGCTTGGGCTTCGCTTTTGCCTTCGTTTTGGTCAGCGTGGACTGTTTTTTGGGAGACAAGAACCCATCGCACATGCCCTTGTCCATGCCCGCAGGCCGATCCCTTGCTGGGTCCAGCGGGGGGTTGGTCTGTGTGGGGGGGATCTCGTCGGCCGCGCAGGTTTTGGGCTTCAGCGACCACTCCACCATGGCCTCTGCGTTGGGGTGGTCAGCGTACAACTCCTCAAAGAAGGAGCGTGAAGGCAAGAGAGTTTCCCCACGATGTAGCTTGTCCGGCTCCTCATGCTGCGGTTTCGCCGCACTGGAAGCTGGGGTCTGTTCCTCCTCAAGAGCGCCCTTGCGTCGCTTTCCCCCACCTCCCTGGTTGCTGGCTCTCCTGCGAGCAAGCTTGCCCGGCGGGTCCGCAGCGTGGTTGGCCTTGGCGTCCATCTCCTTGTCGCCCGTGCCCGTGTTGAGGTTGGTGGTCATGCCCTCCTTGGTGTCCAGCGTCTCCTTGCAGTCCGCCACCTTGCTGAGCTCAGCCTTTGCGTCCTCGGCTTCCCGCACCATCTCCAACACTGCCGACACACGCTCCTTGCTGGTTGTGCAAAGCTTGCCAGGCTTCGCCCCGCCCTTCTTCAGCTTGGCGTTGGCCTTGCTGCCCATCTTGTTCACGCCCGCGCCGTCCATCTCCACCTGCGCACCTACGCCCGCGTTGAGCTCTATGCCCACGCGCTCCTCGGTGTCCCGCATCTCCTTGTCCATCTCTTTGCTGGTGCTCTCGTCGCTGCCCGCCATGTTGAGCATGGTGTCCGCGCCCTTCTTCGCGTCCAGCATCTCCTTGGGGTCCGCCACCTGGTTGGGCGTGATGTCCTTCTCCTTGCCGCTGTCCGCGTCCGTCTTCGCGTCCAGCGTCTCCTTCTCCTTGTCGGTGCGCTTGTTGCTGCCCGCCGTGTTGAGAACGCCCTCCTTGGTGTCCAGCAAATCCTTGGTGTCCGCCGCCTGGTTGGCCTTGATGTCCATCTCTTTGTCGGTACCCTCGTCGCTGCCCGCCGTGTTGAGCATGGTGCCCGCGCCCTCCTTGGTGTCCAGCGTCTCCTTGCAGTCCGCCGCCTGGTTGACCTTCACACCCATCTCCTTGTCGGTGCCCTCGTCGCTGCCCGCCGTGTTGAGCACGGCGTCCTTAGTGTCCAGCGTCTCCTTGGCGTCTGCCACCTGGTCGGCCTTGATGTCCATCTCCTTGTCGGTGCCCTCGTTGCTCGCCATGTTGAGCATGGTGCCCGCTCCCTTCTTGGTGTCCAGCATCTCCTTGCTGTCCGCCACTTGGTTGGCCCTGATGTCCATCCCCTTGTCGGTGCGCGCGTTGCCCGCCGAGTTCAGCATGGTGCCCGCGCTGTCCTTGCTGTCCAGCATCTCCTTGGTGTCCGCCGCTTGGTCCTTGTCGGTGCGCTCGTTGCTCGCCATGTTGAGCATGGTGCCCGCGCCCTTCTTGGTGTCCAGCATTTCCTTGGGGCCCACCACTTGGTTGACCTCCACGTCCATCTCCTTGTCGGTGCGCGTGTTGCTGCCCACCATGTTGTCCACGCGCGCGTTGCTGCCCGCCGTGTTGAGCAGCGTGCCTGCGCCCTCCTTGGTATCCAGCATGTCCTCGGTGTCCGCCACCTGGTTGGCCTTGATGTCCATCGCCTTGTCGGTGCCCGTGTCGCTGCCCGCCGTGTTGTCCGTGTGCGCGTCGCTGCCAGCCGTGCTGAGCATGGGCTCCGCACTCTCCTTGGTGTCCAGCATCTCCAAGTCCGCCATCTGGTGGGCCTTCAAACCCACCTCCGCATCGGGCATGGGCTTCGCCACCCCTTCCACCTGCCGCTTCTTGAGGTCCGCCGCGTGGTTGGCCTTGATGTCCATCTCCGTTCCAGCATTCACCTTGACGCCCTCTGAGCGCACGTCCTCCTTAGTGTCCGCCGCCTTGGCGTTGTCAGGTTGTGTCTCGAGGCCAGGGAGGGTGTGCTGGAAGATGTCCACCGGCTGAGTCTCCATGTTGTCCATACCTTAGCAGGAGTTCGCTTAGTCGCTCCTCTGAATGCGCGCTCACACACACGTGGGCGCACGCACACACACAAACACACGCTTTTTGGGCAGCCCTCAGCTTCTTAAGCTTCTCCAGCTTTTGCTTTTGCATCATGAGTTCATGCTCTTGAGGGGTCATGCAGGGCATGCTCGTCATTGTCTGGTAATCGGCGGCCACGATGTTGCAGTTCAAACACTCTATGGCAGAACCGTTTCCCGCAAGCTTCCTCAAAAAGTGTCTCCGCGGGGTTGTAGGAGGGGATGAGGCTGATGAGCCGGGTGATGGAGAGAAGCCTCAACCCGCACTTTAGAAATTAAAATAGGCGAACTGAAGCCGCACAAACAAGGTCAACCCCTGCCTTTTGATGAGCTGGGAGGCGTTTGCCTCATGTCCCGGGGCAAGCCTTGCAAGGGAGAAACCGTCAATGAACAATGCAGTAGGAATCAGGGGATTGAGAACTGCCTGGCCTGGTTGCAGCTGGTTGCCAAACTGGGGCTCATCGAAAAGCTTTTGGGCCAGAGTGAGCTTTGCTTTGTTATCCTCCAAGGGCGCCTGCTTCTTTTCCAACAACGGGCTTGTTCCCAAAGGTAGCTGGGAGTCCTCAGCACTTTGCTTTTCCTTGAAGGCCTCCAAAGCTCCAGCATCTTTCTGAGAGATGTCCTACAATCAAACAGCAGAGTGCATGTAAGGGATCCAACCACCAAGTAAATTGAACATTCATTTGGTCCTGTAACATTTCCGGGTCATCCTCCAACGCCTCCTCCTCCCCATCCTCGGCATCGCCAAGGTCCAGCTCTGCGTCATCGGTGTCCCCCTCAGCGCCTCGGATGGGGGCTCTGGGATTTAAATCAAAAACACATGGCATGCAATATATGCTGGCAATAGCATAAAACGCATGCATGTATACATGCTATGTAACCCTCAATTAGAGTAACCCCACGTGCCAGGACTTCCAGTTTGGGCTTGCAGCCAAAAGGGCTGCATAATCCATTTTGACGGCTTGCCAGAAATGTTTTCTCGGTCTGGGGAGGCAACTTGCTAATGTTGACCGCTGCCAAAACCTGTAGGGGTTTCAATCCAAGTCTCCTTCCGGAAGTGGCACACCTGCCTGAACATACAAATGCCTCATCGCAGGCTCACGGGGGACATGAGGGCGCCGCGCGCACCTCCCAAAGATGGTGATTAAGCGTCGGATGGCCCATGCTTGCATTCTCACCCGCTCGCCTTGGTAAGGCTACCCTAGAGATCTTTGAAGGCAAAAAGACATGAGTGGCTCGTGCAAACTTTCTTGCGGGTAAGTGGCGGGAAATCGGCGCCCTGTTCCGCCCCCGGTTGCGGAAAAAGAATTCATCCACGTGCATGCACACATCATCCACCGAGATCCGAAGTCCTGAGCAGCGGGGGTAGAATATCGCCTCGATCGACCTAGCTGTAATGGTCCCCATTCAAGCTTGCTCTTCCCGAGTTTTCTGACTGGCATTGGCATCTAGTACATGCAAGTGTCCCCGATGCTTGATCATGGGGCCCAGGATGTCTGCGTTATTGATGCAGTCTGTTCGGTTCAGATTATCGAGGTTGGTGAAGATGACCAGCTCGCCTTTCGGGGCCTTGTCCTTCAAGTAATCCACCGCTTCCCAGCCTTGAACCACATTAGATCTGGCTGGAGGGAGAACCCCCTGATCAACCGCCATGACTAGCTCCCTGAGCTTGCTAAAGAATTTGAGCCGCAACAAAAGCTCTTCGAAAAGGGTTGTGCCTGCTAACCACTCAAACCGGCATAAACAGGCAAGCCAGGCACTCCAAGCGGGCCCACTCCGCCAATCCGTGCCTTTTGTGCCGAGGCTGGCGGCTGCTGGCGCGGCGACGTGCACAATGCACACACCGCCTGCTCTGCCCCTGCATAAAGCTCGTGTTTGGGAAAAACACTCGAAGCATGAAAAAGTGTACGTTTACCTTATTTTGGTGACGACCCCTGAATTTGCAATACGTTTGGGCTCAGGGCAGAAATTTAGGTAACGAAGGAAGCTTCAGGTAGTTATTTGTTTTTGACCCCCCCCCAAAAAAAAAAACACGTCAAACAAATACGCGTTTTTTTAGGTGGACCCCCCCAAAAAAAATGACATACACGTCAAAGAGCTATACGCCTCTCAACGCTTCAAACATCTCAAGCCTGAGTGGGGGGGGGGGGGGCCGCGTGACTTGGGTGTGGTGTTTACCCTTTTCGGGCCTGTGTTAGACAAGAACCAAAAGTAAACCTGCCTCCCCCCTTTTTCTAGTGAAACTCGCAAACCTTTAACGGCACCGGTATGGGCTTGAAACCTCAAGAATTTGGAGGGGGGCCTTTGTGCCCGTGTGATTCCCTTTGCAAGTGAACCAGCCACATCCAGCCTACCAAATCCTGGTAAAATCCGGGGATTCCCTTCCAGCCCCTTCTTTGCCCTGCGATGTTCAGAACATAGCTGGGGCTCAACAAATGATACCCGAACTGGTATATATATATATATATAGTATGGGGGAAAAAACGCAAAAAACCTGCGTATCCCCCTGGGCTGTTTTTGAGCCATCCCCAATCCCTGCAAGGTACTGCTCATGCACTGCTACCGGCACACCGAGGGCTTTACGCTGGACGAGTTGCAGCGCTTAAGCTGCAACGGGTTGAATCGCTTGATTCATGACCTGAACCTGAACGATGGAACATAGTCTCAGTTGTTCAGTGGCACCAATTATTTTCCCTTTTTGTTGGGTGGCTGCCCCACTAAAAATGGTCTTCCCCAAAAAGGGTTCCCTCTTCTTCTCCAGGGTCACTGAACAACTGAGTAGTTGTTTGCCCTTGTGGGTCCCCTTCATTGTATTGTCCAATTCAAACGGGAAAGAGTCGATGTAGCCGGCTATGTTACGGATCATCTAGATGCACCTTTTGCCTGAAGCTGGATCAACCAGCCTGACAGCTGCCCCCGCAACGGCTCCAGCCCCGCAAGGGCTCCAGCGCAAAGCATTGAAACTCGCAGAGTGCTTCGGTGTCATTGTCAAGCATTTGGTGTTTGACACTGGTTGCTGGTTTCAACTTGCTTCTGATCATTCACTATAGTGCCATCGAATTGTTTCAAAGGGCATCTAGAGGGGTCAGGATTGGTTGAAGGGTTGGAGTTCATTCAAACTGCCTGACAGTTGCCTTCGTTGAAGAAGATGGCCGAGGCGAGTGTTCTAGGGTCTTTCAACAGGTTGAAGCTTGCCACGGCGTGCGTTCCCTCACAAGGTAATGTGGATTTCGCTTTTTTGCTAAGACAAAGGCCAACGTTTACACCATGGATGGCCCAGCCCAACACCAGCTGTAAGTGGCTGCTTTTGTTCGTGTCGCTGTCTTTGTGTGGCGGTTTCTGTGTTTGTGCGTGCGCGTGTGTGCGTTTACGTGGTTCTGGGTGTCTCATGGTATGTCAATGGTGTTGTGCCTGCCTTTGCGCCGTTGTGTCTGTGTTTTCCTTTCTCTGAGGGAAAGCTAATTGGGCAAACCACCAGAAAAGGATCTTAGAGATCGAAGGGTTCCGTGTTTGAGGGTTGCACCTTGGGGGGCAAGATTGTGGGCAGAGAAGTGGGCGTGACGGTGAGAATCTGGAGGAATGGAGGTACTGGGTGGGTTGGGGGGGTGGGGGAGGAGCGGGCAGGGGCTCGATACCATAGAAGACTTGTCCAGAGCAGGCGGGTGATCCACCAGCTTTGGGGCCCACGGCCCCGTGGCCGAGGACTTTGACCGCGATCTACTCAGATGTGGTGGATCAAGTCGCGCGCCTTGGCAGATGGTTTTCGCCAGTTTCTGGATGCCCGCGTGTAAGGGAGGGGCTGCGCACGTGGCTTCAGGAAAGCGAGATTTGGAGGGCGAAATGCGAAACCTGACGGTGCTGTTCCTGGTTCGGAGCGGTTTTTCTCTTCAACGGCAGCATGTTTCAAGAAACTCCCGTTGTTGTAGGTTTCTTTTAGGAAAACCACCCAAATCCTAACCACCAAGCCACCGATTCCGCTCCACCCTTGTGCCCAGGGAAGGGGAAATGGAATGACCCCTAGACTCTAAACCATCCAACTGGTGGTTGCAGGGCTCCTTCGAGGATACATTTTGCAATTTGAATCATGAGTTGAAGCCACCATTTACAAGTTGCAAGGTTCAGATGTTTTTCATGTAAGGATCCCTCTTCAGCTTCATTCCCTTCCTTCCCTTACCGCACCGACCCCCTCGTTTTGGGGGAAGAGCCGGAAGCAGCCGCAGGCGGAGACGAGAGGGGATGAATCTCCTTCCAGCAGCCTCTTGGCGAATGAATCGAGCTACCTTGTAAGTAGCCGCATGAAGAGGGTTGACCGCGCGGTATACCTTAAAAACCAGTTCTCAAACACCAAATTTGGCAAAAACAGCAAGTGATGTCCTCAAAGCTTGAAAAGATGCAAGCAACCTCTCAACTATTTCTTGAAACAGGTCCAACCAATCTCAGGCTCCAATCAATTTGGGGGGCACCAACAGTGGGTTCCATGAAGATCCCACCCCGCAACCCTCCTATGAATAGGACGGGTTCTACTTAGGCTCGGAGTCAACACTATTTTGCAACTAGCTTGGGCCATTCCTTTTTTTAGGGGAGCCCCCTTGGTCAGAAAAATTCTGAGCCATTTCCTTTCAACGTGACCCCATTTTCTGCTTTGGTGGGTTTGGTTTTGCTTTTTCCCCAGGAAACCGAACCTAACAAACCGGTCCTAGGGGATTCCCTGAAGGAACCCATTCTTTCGTTCCACTTCTCATTCCCTCCTAGACATTCCCTCAACCAAAAACCACTAGCTTCCATTTGCTTACGAATAGATATATATATATATATATTATTTTCCCCTCTTGGTTTTAAAGGGAATCGATTTCACTACTGGACAAATTTTATGTTGGCAGGGGTCGAAAAACCAAATGGCAGACAAGCGAGCCGGCTTTGCCGGGGGCGTCTCTGCCCCCCCCCCCGTATTCGAAACCCGGCCACCGACCAGCAACCCGAGCGAGCGGCCGAGCGGAGGAGATGCTGGGGGACGTGCTGGTGCAGTTCTTTGGGCCCGCGCAGGCGCAAAAGGCCCGCTTCATGCAGCAGGCGGGAAGCGGTCCGACGGGGCACGACGGGGACGGCAGGCGGGTAGGCGGGTCCCGACGGGGACGGCCGGCACGGACGAGGCAAAAAAAGGGTAGGTCTTATTTTCTCTAGTGTTCTTGGGCAACGGATCTTTAGACTTTGTTTTATATTTATAAAAAAAAGAAACATTGGTTGAAATGAAGTTGGGTTTTCCGAACTAAACACCCAGAAAGTTAAACTTTTTGCAGGGGGGTCAACAGCAACCAAGTTGTGTGTATGCATATATTCATAGAGTATTCACATAAGTATACCTAACTATATGCCTGCATATGGATTCATAATACAGTATATATATATATAGATGTATGTTGTGTTTGCTTGGATGTATGTGTGCATGTCTACATATGCATAAGGTGTAATGATTTTATACATATGTGATCTTTACATTTCATATTTGTAAGCATGGCGTGCCTGGGCTCATGAGCGCCTGCTTGAAAGGAACGCTGCCAGATTAACTCCTTCAATTGCAAACGTGTACCGTGCCACACGCTCAGAGCATCGACCCAACGGATCCCATGCCAAATCCTCTCATTACAGATGCCGGGAGACCCCCGCGACGAGTGCGAAACAAAAGGCATGTCATGCGCGGCGTCAAGCCAGAAGCCAACATGTTGTGATCACAGCTCGGCTTGATGTCATGCAGGTGTG